GTTCCGCGCCCCCCTGCCGCTCCTGCCTAGTTTGCGCGACCTCTCCCTACCTGAGTTAGTGTTCCCCTTCCCTCTCCTCCTGGAGTCCGCACCCCTTCCCTCTCGGGTCGGCGTCTCCTTTCCCGTCCTCAAGTCTGCCCTCCTCCTCTCCGAGTCCGCGCCTCCTCCCTCCCCTGACCCACGTCACCCCTCCTCTTACCAAGTCCGCGTCCCCCTCCCCTCCTCTCCAGGCGCCCGCATCCGCCGGCCCTGACTCAGCGTCCCCAGAGATGGCGCAGCACCGCAAAGCCGCGAGCAGGCCTTTTCGGTTCTTTTTCAGGTACCTTTTCCCTTCTTGACGCTCATCGCTTGGAGATGCAGCTGTTCATTAAGAACCTTGAGCACCTACTGTGTGCCCGGCGCTGGGCAAGGGGACTGGAAATGCTTCTTGCTCCTGCTGAGAGAAGGGCCTGGGCCCTGCGCAGGGCTTGGTGTCACTCCTCAGTTTACCCTCTCTGCGTCTGATTTCCCTTCTTTAAAATGGGGTTCATGTTTGTATCCAACCTCCCGGAGTCCTCGCTGTCACTGAAGGCTTTTCGAGGGTCAGACAACCGCAATGAGGAGCGACCGGCGTTCCTTGGACACTCCTTGGCCTACCCAGGCCTTCCATCTGCCGTTGCGGAGCACAGCGTCTCTCTGTGAGACGCTGACAGGCCTCGCCGGCCTTAAAGACTGGAAGTCCAGGACCTAGTTCCAGTCCCAGCTCTGCTTCTGCTTTACTAGTAACCGGAGCAAGTGACTCACTCCACCCAGCTTGGGTTTACCTATTTGTACGGTGACGTTGTTGGATGGTTCCTCCAGCCAGGGGTGCTGACACACCGTAATTGCATGACCTGCTGCATTTAGTGAAGGGTGTCCCCTGTCTTGGGACAGATATGGTTCCCCTAAGGAGGGGCCCCACCTGCCTCACTGCCATCTCTTTTTCATACTCAGTCTTCAGTACCTGGTGTGTATTTTACATCTCCACTCGGGCCAGCCATATTTCAAGTGCTCAAGAGCCACCTGGCTATTGGCGATGGAATTGGAAATTGCAGTTCTAATCATCATGCCAAGATTCTTTTTTTCTCCACAAATTCTCACAGTCTAGTCCACACAAGGGGCACGTATACCTCATACCAGGGTGACTTTGAGTTAAGTGCTAGCTGAAAGGTTGGCAGCTCGAACCCAGTCAGCAGCTCTTCTGGAGAAAGACCTGGCAATCTGCTTCCATAAAGATTACAGCCAAGAAAACCCTATGGGACAATTCTACTGTCACATGGGGCCGCCATGAGTCGAAATTCACTCGATAGCACCTAACAACAACAGATTTTTGTTTGAGGGCAGGGACCTCCTTGAGGGCAGGGACTGGTCTGCATGCCTGCTACTTAGCATATGTTGTTAACTGCTTTCCAGTTGGGCCCCTACTCATGGCAACCCCAACACAATGGAACAAAATGCACCCTGGTCCTGTGCCATCCCCATGATCTGTTGCAGATCAACCGTTGTGATCCATAGAGTTTTTTTGTTTGTTTTATTTTAATAATGTTTTATTTAACCCAATATATTCAAAATACTTACATTCACTTTAGCTACTCTACGTTCAAGAACAAGTTTCAGAGTCTTCTGACATCCATTTTGGTCTTTTCTTTCTTTCCTGTTTCTTTAATGACCTTTCCTCGTGTATGATGTTCTTGATGTCATCCCACAACTCATCTGGTCTTCGGTCATTAGTGCTCAATGCATCAAATCTATTCTTGAAATGGTCTTTACATTCAGGTGGGATATACTCAGGGTCGTACTTTGGCTTTCATGGACTTGTTTTAATTTTCTTCTGCTTCAACTTGAACTTGCAAATGAGCAACTGATGGTTTGTTCTGCAGTTGGCCCCTGGCCTTGTTCTGACTGATAATAACTGAGCTTCTCCATTGTCTCTTTCCACAGATGTAGTCAATTAGATTCCTGTGTTTTCCATCCAGTGAGGTCCACGTGTATAGTCGCCATTTATGTTGTTGAAAAAATGTATTTGCAATGAATAAGTCAGTTAGTTGGTCTTACAAAATTCTATCATGTGATCTCCGGCATCATTTCTATCACAAAGGCCATAATTTCCAACTACCGATTCTTCTTCATTTCCAACTTTCGCATTCCAGTCACCAGTAATTATCAATGAATCTTGACTGCATATTTGATCAATTTCAAACTGCAGAAGTTGGTAAAAATCTTCAATTTCTTCATCTTTGGCATTAGTGATTGGTGCTTAAATTTGAATAATAGTCATATTAACTGGTCTTCCTTGTAGGTGTATGGATATTACCCTATCGCTGACAATGTTATACTTCAGGATAGATCTTGTAATTTCTTTTTGACAATGAATGTGATGCCTTTCCTCTTTGTCATTCCCAGCAGAGTAGACAATATGATTGTCCTGTTCAAGATGGCCAATACCCGTCCATTTCAGCTCACTAACGCCTAGGATATCAAGGAAGACCCTTAAGGAGATGGATTGCCACAATGCCTGCAACAATGGGCTCAAACAGCACAATTGTAAGGATGGCACAGGACTGGGCAATGTTTCATTCTGTCGTACACAGGGTCGCTATGAGTCGGAACCAACTGGACAACACCTAACAACAACAAAAATATCCAAAATACTACTACTTCAACATGTAATCAATATAAAACACTACTGATGATCTATAGGGTTTTCAATGGCTGATTTGCAGAAGTAGATTGCCAGGCCTTTCTTCCTAGTCCATGGGTGCACCGCTGAAACCTGTACAGCATCATGGTGTCACACACATTGGCCGGGAATCAAACCCAGGTCTCTCACATGGAAGGGGAGAATTCTACTACTGAACCACCACAGGCCCCACTTGAAGTGGATGCTTGTTGAATGGGTGCAAGAATAAGATGAAACCTCCTTTTGATAGTTCCCCCAAGGCCTTGAACAAGACTCAGTAAAAGTTATTTGGACAATCATTCATGAGTGCCCAGTACGTACTGGTTGCTTTCATAGACACCATCTCATGCCATCCTCACAGTGGCACACAGAGGGGACATTTGCTCCTCGGGTGAAATGACCATTGGTCAGGATAGACACCAAGGACAGCCTTAATGAGGGGATGCCTGAGGCCAAACATCCAGAACAGCAGCCACAGACCAGGCTCTGGGGCCCAGGGATAATCAGAAGTTGTGTGCAGTCAAACCGCATTCATCTGGCTCCGAGGAGTGGCAGCAGCGTGTTCTGGTTAATTCCATTTTTTGAGTAACAAAAGGTTCACACTTCCTTGGTGTCAATTCTTGGCACTGAAAATCGCTCTAAAGTAGGTTAGTCTCTCTGTTGGGCCTAGCAAGGGTTGCGTAATTGAATCTCCCTTTGGAAACAGACAGTCCCAGTGGCCATATTCCTGCTTCAAATCCTCACTGTCCTGCCCTGAAAATGTAACTGTGGGAGGTGGGGGCTGCTTGGTTGATAAAAAATAACCCCAGATAAGCTCCTGGGAGAGGCTTTTGGGGCTAAATCCTATGCTACCTTGGAGCAGGCAAAACTGAATTTACCATGGCTCCAGGCCTGGCTTAAAAAGCCAAGATGTCACTTTGAAGACTAAGGTGCGACTGACCCAAGCCACGGTCTTTTCAATCGCCTCATAGTCATGAGAAAGTGAGACAATGAAAAAGGAAGACAGACGAAGAATTGATGCCTTTGAACTGTGTGGTTTTGGTGATGAATATACTGTAAACTGCCAGAAGAATGAATAAATCAGTCTTGGAGGAAATACAACCAGAATGTTCCTTAGAATCGTGGATGAAGAGACTTCATCTTGATTATTTTGGACACATCATCAGGAAAGACCAATTGATAGAAAAGGACATGATGTTTGGTAAAGTAGAGGGTCAGCGAAAATGAGGGAAACCTCAATGAGATGGACTCATATAACATCCCCAACAATGGACTCAAACATACCAACAGTCATGAAGATGGTACAGGACCATAACGTTTAGTTCGGCTGTACGTAGGGTCGCCATGAGTCAGAGCCAACTTGATGGCAGCTAACACCAACCAGGCCTGGCCCTTGGCTCTGCCAGGGCAGCTGGAATTGTTGAGACCTCAGGACACTGAGTCACCCTGCCCAAACCCACAAGATACCTAGAGTATAAGATGTCAGGTTATTAATTCATCATGGGGGTGATTTTTTGCAAGAGTGGAACCCTAAGGGCCAGCATCCAGGAAACGTGGCAAAGGTGGCATGGCCAGCAGGGACTCCAGCGCATTGGGGGCACTGGAGAGGGAACAGCCTCTTGGTTGCTCTTAAAAGGTCAAGCTGGAAGCCTAGTGTCCTGACCCACCCCATGGCAGAGACCACCTGTGCAGATTCTCATGCCCACCAGTGTGGACATTTGGGGGCTCCCTGCATTCTCCTTCTGAGTGTTCCAGCTGACCCCTTCCCTATGGGTTCATATGGTATTATTCCAGAAAGGGTACAAATTCCTTCATTTGTTTATTAAATATTTAATGGCATTAGTGAACAATGACAGAAAAGGAGCTGACAGTCTAGGTGGGAAACATGATGAATGAGTTAAAATAATTTGAGACTGTGAGGGTATGAGGGGAACACAGTATTACAAGAGACACTGAGTAGGAGGGAGAGGGGTTTCTTTATATTACATGATTATGGAAGGCCTCTCTGAAGAGGTA